CTCTATTATTTGCTTGTTTAAATTGAATTTTGAGCAGAGATTTAAAAGCTCGTGTGAGTGTGAGTTTTCATCAGAGCTGCCTCCTGGTGTTATTACTGCAACAATATTATTTGCTATATTCCTCCATTTTAGGTGCCTTAAGTTGAAATCCCCCAGGAGCAAGATGTTGGGTGCAGGAGCTGGAAGATTTTCCAGACAGTGGTCAATTTTTAACAGCTGTTCCTGGAATTGCTGGGATGTTGCATCCGGAGGCTTGTAGACTACCGCAATGACTAGGTTTTGGTTCTCGACCTTTACTGCTAAAACTTCCACTACATCATTTGAGGCATTAAGCAGTTCTGTGCAAACAAATGACTCTGCAATGTACAGGCCAACCCCCCCCCCCTTTGCCTGTGTGTAATGATGTTGACTATGAAACTGGTCAAGCTCTTGAAGAGCGAAACATAGCCGCAGTAAAATGCCACATTAATTCCACAAGTTTCCTTTGACCTAACATGAACTGTGACCTACAGACTGATCCAGTGTTAACGAAAAACAAAAGAATGCCAGGATAGTTTCTGGGGACGGTTCTGCAATATTCGTTTTCCCAGATAATTAAAAGGCTTTTCACTCAAGATAGCGCTGTATAGCCCTTGTGGCTTAGCGCTTCTTTTTGATTATAATAATAATTCACTCAAGATATACTCAACGCTGGGCAGTTCTTTTACGTGTAAAATGTACATTTTCTGGTGAAACAGTGAAATGAAACGCACAAAACCAAATGATGCACTGGATGCGTGCCTGCGCTCGACTCGGTTCTACTGATATGGACAGATTCTTAAGAAAAATGTCTCCCCAGAATTTCTATTAGTAAGCAGGAATATAATTAACACTTAATGAGGTTATCCATGTCCTGTCTGGCCAAGATGAGTACACAGGGCTATCCATGTCCTTCCTGGCCAAGATATGACAAGGGTTATCCATGCCCACGTCCACTGCAATGAAAAACAGGGGATTTTAATGACCTTTTGGGGAGGTGGGACATTTTCCCTCCTTAAAAATAAAGAATATACCATATTATTGTAGATTGGAAGATAGTCATTATCCCTCCCCCCTCATTGCGAATATTCGTCTACGCGCTACACGCTACCATATATTCATTAAGGCTGGAATAACCATGTCAACTGTAACCGGGGTAAACCTTAAAAATAAAGAATATACCATATTATTGTAGATTGGAAGATAGTCATTATCCCTCCCCCCTCATTGCGAATATTCGTCTACGCGCTACACGCTACCATATATTCATTAAGGCTGGAATAACCATGTCAACTGTAACCGGGGTAAACCATGAGCACTCACATTACTGGGGGAATGTCAACTTACCTTACTGACGATGTGTCACCTTACTGACGATGTGTCAACTTACCTTAATGACGATGTCACCTCACTGGCGATGTGTCAACTTACCTTACTGACGATGTGTCACCTTAATGGCGATGTGTCAACTTACCTTACTGTGTCACCTCCCTCGACGAGCTGTCAGCTTCCACTTACCTGCAAGGTAAAAACCACTTATTAATTCACGAGTCCCACCTCCAGCTAGACCCTTCAACCATCAACTGCAAGTACCCCCTAGTTACTCTCTCCACCCACACCCTCAGAAAGTATTTCTCAGTCATTGTCTCCACCCACACCCTCAGAAAGTATCTCCCTCTTATTCTTTTCACCCACATAATTCTAATGATACAATGAACTTAAATTATGATCTCACTGTCTATAATGAAATTTACCTTCCCATGATGGTAGATGATGCTACTTGGTGCTGAGGGCCCAGGTGGTGCTGGGGGGCCACTGGTGCAATGGTCACTGGTGGTGCTGGGGGCGCAGGTGATACTGGGGGCCACAGGTGGTGCTGAGGCCACTGGTGGTGCTGAGGACCACTGGTGGTCCTGGGGCCCAGTTGATGCTAACCACAGCTAGATATGCAAACGATGTTCTCTTAAAAACAAACACTTCTCGTCTAAAACACTTTGTCAGGGGAACGCCTTCCACCTGAACAAAAGAATGGAAAAAATAAATGAATGACTCGAGAAATAATAATAAAGATAATTTTCTAAGTTTTTTAAATAAAATTTAAATAAATCAAATTTGGTGGCTGTGGTTCGAGCAGGATATTGAGACAGGAGTTTCTTGTGCCCAGGATGGTCTTTTGACGATGTTTTAGAAGAAATGGTGTTGGTTATCCTGGGTGGCGGTGTTCGTCCGATGTTCTGGATATCCTGTCACTACTTAGTCGTAGTACCACAATTCAGATTTCAGAGATGAGGAGTCGTAATGTCCGGTAGACAGGGGTCTTGCTCCAATTTACTATCGTCTACCCTGTTTGACCAGGCCAGTAGCAGAGCTGATTAGGAGAAGAGTGGAGGTGAAGTTATTCTCCAAACTTCAACCCACACCAGGTAAGGTTAATACTACCAGGAGTAGAAATTAAAGCAAGTCAGATCCCAGGAACTGGAGTTTAGCCTCAGTCCACTAGATGGTAGTGCTGGCAGTAATACGCTAATAGTTCCTGAGTGTCTCAACAACCATAACCACACTTATTACCGGCTTTTCCCTCACACTTCTTCTAAAACACTTTTCTTTTAAAAAAACACTTAAAACACTTTTTTTCTATAACACCTCTAAAAACACTTTTCTTCTAAACACTTTTCTCTTAAAAACACTTTTCATAGTTCTATAACATTTCTAAAAATACTTTTCTTCTAAAACACTTTTCTTTTAAAAAACACTTAAAACACTTTTTTTCTATAACACCTCTAAAAACACTTTTCTTCTAAACACTTTTCTCTTAAAAACACTTTTCATATTTCTATAACATTTCTAAAAATACTTTTCTTCTAAAACACTTTTCTTTTAAAAAACACTTATAACACTTTTCTCTATAACACTTCTAAAAACACTTTTCTCTTAAAAACACTTAAAACGCTTTTCTTCTATAATATTTCTAAAAACACTTTTCTTCTGAAACACTTTCCTTCTACAAGAAACTCTTCTAAAACACTTAACACTTTTCTTCTACAAAAAAAATCTTTTCTTCTGAAACACTTTTCTTCTAAATATTTTTCTTCAAAAACACTTTTCTTCTAAATATTTTTCTTCAAAAACACTTTTCTTCTAAATATTTTTTCTTCTAAAACACTTTTCTTCTAAATATTTTTCTTCAAAAACACTTTTCTTCTAAACATTTTTCTTCTAAAACACTTTTCTTCTAAATATTTTTCTTCAAAAACACTTTTCTTCTAAACATTTTTCTTCTAAAACACTTTTCTTCTAAATATTTTTTCTTCTAAAACACTTTTCTTCTAAATATTTTTCTTCTAAAACACTTTTCTTCTAAATATTTTTTCTTCTAAAACACTTTTCTTCTAAATATTTTTCTTCTAAAACACTTTTCTTCTAAATATTTTTCTTCTAAAACACTTTTCTTCTAAACATTTTTCTTCTAAAACACTTTTCTTCTAAATATTTTTCTTCTAAAACACTTTTCTTCTAAATGTATTGGCCCCCCCCAGCAGGTGTTGCTGGAGGCCAAGGTGTTGTTGGGAACCTAGGTGTTGCTGGGAGCTCAGATATTACTGGGAGCCCAGGTGTTACTGGGAGCCCAGGTGTTACTAGGAGCCAAGGTGATGCTGGGGGCCCAGGTTGTACTGGGGCCCAGGTGGTGCTGGGGGACCAGGTGGTGCTGGGGGCCCAGATGTTGCTGGGACGCCAGGTGTTCCTGGGGGCCCAGGTGTTGCTGGAAGTCCAGGTGTTGCTGGGAGCCCAGGTGTTACTGGAAGCCCAGATGTTTTTGGGGTCCAGGTGGTACTGGGGCCCAGGTGGTACTGGGGCCCAGGTGTTGCTGGGGCCCAGGTGGTGCTAGGGCCTAGGTGGTGCTGAGGGCCCAGGTGGTACTGGGAGTCCAGGTGTATATACACAGCGCTGAGCACTAATCCCTAAGATAAAGATTAAAATATTCTTGACAGGTGCTGAATAGGTGACATGCAGCCTTAATTGACCCTCGTGTAGTAGATAGGCTTTAAACCCGACTGGATGCGTTTCGGTCTCTGCGACCCGAGAAAGGTATTCCTGTATCTCATAAGCCCAGCCTCCTCCACCTCGCTGCACATACAGTGGTCATAAAATCCTAGTATTGCAAAATATAAAAATATGTATGTATGAGTGTATGTGTGTGCTTATGTATGCATTATGTATGCACATGCATACTTAAGCAAAGGTATGTATGTGCATATATACGCTGTGCACATGTATGCAAAAATGTGCATGTGTGTGCGTAAGTATAGGTGTGCGTGTATGATATGAGTATGTATTCACCTATATGTGGTTGCAGGGGGTCGAGTCCTAGCTCCTGGCCCTGCCTCTCAACTTAACTCATCTTTTTCTCCCCGGCAGGGAATCGAACCCCGGTCTCCCGCGTGGCATGTAGAAATACTCACCGCTAAACTACCAAGGAATGTTGGTACATGATGAATGGTATGATGATACCGACAAGATGTGGAGAAAGACATTTATGTACTATAAATATACTTAGCTGGATGAAATCTTTTGTAACCAGCTGGTCCAGTGGCTTACGCACTGACCTGGAGTTTACGACTCACTTGCCATGGGTTCTAACCGCCCATCCCATGGGTTGTTTAGAGGAAACGTTTGGCCACGAGTGGTTTCTTCAGGTATAATCAAGAAGTCTGAAGAAGCCAGTCGTGACGAAACGCTTCCTCTGTCCTGAACTGTACGTAAGTGTCTTTTCCCACATGTAGGTACATTCATGTGTATAGGTATATGTATATGTGTGTGTAAGTATATGTGTCAGAACCCTCATAGCTGGGTGGTTACAGCGCTGGGAATGTGACTTATACATGTATGTATCCACCACTACTGTGAAGGTTTCAGGTTAATAGTTTGACTAAGATGGACGACATACTGAGGTAATTCGACTAATTTTCCTTTTCCGTCTACAGTTCGACGGACACCGTGGGAGCCGCGGCCATCGGCCTCAACATGGCAGTGAGGGAGTGTCTTCGGCAGTTCGCCAACCACCGATGGAACTGCACCGCCCTCAACACTCTGGCCAACAACCCTCACACCGCTCCCATCATGGCCAGAGGTAGGCTGAACACTCACTTTGATCACTAGCTCCCGTCTTCACACCGCACTAGTCACTTGCACTCTTTCACATACCCCCACCAGTCACTGGCTTCCTTTACCACACCCACACTAGTCACCAGCTTCCTCTACTACTCCCACATTAGTCATTAGCTCCCTTCTTCACACCCACACTAGTCACTTGCACTGTTTTACATACCCTCACCAGTCACTGGCTTCCTTCACCACTCCCACACTAGACACTAGCTTCCTTCACCACACCCACATTAGTCACTAGGACCCTTCTACACACCCACACCAGTCACTAGCCCCTGCCCCACACACTAGAACTAGCAATTCTCACACTGACACTGGCATGTCCAGAGGTTTATCAATTCCCCTCGTTCTCTCTCAACAAACCCCACCAGTAGCCCCCACATTATCAACCTCCGCATGAGTATCCCCACACAAATATTCCTACACCAACACCCTCGACACCGTCAACTCTCCACATAGCTTCTTGTTCTATCCTCGCATCGTTGCACACATTAACTACCACTATGGTCCAAGTCGGACCGAAATGTTGTCGTAAGCTCCTCTGTCCTGTGTGCGGGTTATTTGTGTATTGTTCCAGTCACGGTATTATGCATTTTGTTCTTTCTGCACTCTATTCAATTCGTCCTGTATGTTTGTGAGGTCTTCAAGTTGTAACTTTCTCGTCAGTTTCCCAATGATAGAGGGAGCCTTTGGTCCGGCAAGTCTTTTAGAAATCTTAAGATTAGGGGTCCCAAGTATGATCCTTGGGTACGCCGATTGTCACTTATCCCTAGCCGGATACGTTATGTGTGTGTGTGTGTGTGTGTGTGTGAGTGCATGTAAGCATGTGGGAGGAACGCTCAATCTATCGAGTGGTTGCTAAACACAAACACCATCTGCACCACACCATTTTATTGATCTGCCACTCTATTGACAGGATCTCCCGCGGCTCTTCCTGTAAGTGGTTTGTTTACATCGAATGCACGTGTTAATTCCTCCCCAGTGAGCCCCGCACGTGGCTGTCTCAGTATCCTGCCCCCACGCCGTCTTTATTCGTCCTCTGGTCAAGGCAACCCTGTGAAGGTTGAACCTTCTCGCGTCTCTGTGTTACCTCGCCATATACAGTATCTTATAAAAGGTATATTCGATCATTTTCATATTTTTTCTTGACTTGTCATGGTGTTTCTCCTCAGATGGTTTGAAGGGAAAAAATATACCTGTATCTGCACAGATTTTCGCTCACGTGTGAGCTTTACTGTCGTGATGAAGTAACAGAGCTCGCTGTCAGCGAAACGTTGTGCTGTCTTTGAAATAAAGACTTCGATTTTTCAGACATGTACATGTACATGTACAACTGGTTTCTTTATTGCTGAAACGTTTCGCCTGCACACTAGATTTTGTCATTTAATAATAAAAAAAATGTAAAACTGGAGACAGTATAAAAAGTAATTTTGAGATGCTCAAGTCACTCAGCCTTAATGAAGGACTGACTACCTTCTATCAAGGCTGAAGAACTTATCGCCTCAAAAGTACTTCTACTGTCTCGCCTGTATTCGACAGAAGCCTGTTGAACAGGCGAAACGTTTCCGCATTAAAGTATTGCATATGTATCTCGAGTCTTTATCTTTTATCTTTCTTCTCCGCCAGTACCTCCTTGAGGCACTCTCCGACTTGCGATGCCCTTCAAGATACTCCTGTTGCCCCGTCATGCACTGAACTATCAATGTACAGCGGTGATTCTTCATTTCAGAACACAGTGCTGTATATCATTTGTGCCCATCTTAGCTCTGGGACCAGTTTTCTTGCGAATCTCTGGACTTTTAGTTTTTACATGGTTGATCATGTACAAGTTCCACGGAGGTGTTGCATACTCTGTACTGGTATATATCTGACACGTGGAGGTATAAGGCCCTGAATGATTCCTTACTGGGATTCCTGAGAAAATAATGAGGTGTACTCACCTAATTGTGGTTGCAGGGGTCGATTCATAGCTCTTGGCTCCGCTTCTTCGCTGGTCACTACTAGGTCCACAATCTCCTTGTTCCACGAGATTTATCGTACTTCTTCTTAAAGCTATGTATAGATCCTGGCTCAACTACATCACTCTCCAGATTATTCCACTTCCTGTCAACTCTATGACCAGAGTGGTACTTCCTAACATCCCTGTGGCTCATCTGAGTTTTGAGCTTCTAGCTGTGTGTATGTGTGTGTACTCACCTAATTGTGGTTGCAGGGGTCGATACTCAGCTCCTGGCCCCGCCTCTTCACCGACCGCTACTAGGTCCTCTCTCCCCCTGCTCCATGAGCTTTATCATACCTTGTCTTAAAACTATGTATAGTTCCTGTCTCCACTACATCGCTTGCCAGACTATTCCACTTCCTAACTACTCTATGACTGAAGAAATACTTCCTAACATCCCTTTGACTCATCTGAGTCTTCAGCTTCCAAGTGTGACCATTTGTTTCTGTGTCCCATCTCTGGAACATCCTGTCTCTGTCCACCTTGTCTATTCCACGCAGTATTTTGCATGTCGTTATCATGTCTCCCCTGACCCTCCTGTCCTCCAGTGTTGTCAGACCGATTTCCCTTAACCTTTCTTCATAGGACATTCCCCTTAGCTCTCGAACTAGCCCTGTTGCAAACCTTTGCACTTTCTCTAATTTCTTTGACGTGTTTGACCAGGTGTGGGTTCTAAACTGGTGCTGCGTACTCCAGTATGGGCCTGACGCACACAGTGTATAGTCTTGAACGATTTCTTACTGAGGTACCGGAACGCTATTCTCAGGTTTGCCAAGCGCCCATATGCCTCAGCAGTTATCTGGTTAATGTGTGCTTCTGGCGATGTACTCGGTATTATACTCACTCCTAGGTCTTTCTCCTTGAGTGAGGTTTGCAGCCTTTGGCCGCCTAGCCTATACTCTGTCTGCAGTCTTCTTTGCCCTCCTCCGATCTTCATGACTTTGCATTTGGCGGGGTTAAATTCTAGGAGCCAGTTTCTGGACCACACATCCAGCCTGTCCAGGTCTCTTTGTAGACCTGTCTGGTCCGCGTCTGATTTAATTCTCCTCATTAACTTCACGTCATCTGCAAACAGGGACACTTCTGAGTCTATCCTTTCCGTCATGTCGTTCACATATACCAAGAATAGCACTGGTCCCAGGACTGACCCCCGTGGGACCCCGCTCGTCACTGGCGCCCACTGTGATAACTCATCACGGACCATGACTCGCTGTTGCCTCCCTGTTAGGTCTTCTCTGATCTATTGCAGTCCCCTTCCTGTTATACGTGCCTGTTCCTCTAGCTTCTGTGAGGAACTGTGTCGAAGGCCTTCTTGCAGTCCAAGAAAATGTAATCAACCCACCCCTCAATCTCATTTCTTACTTCAGTTACCTTGTCGTAAAACTCTAGTAGGTTTGTGACACAGGATTTGCCTTCCATGAATCCGTGCTGGCTGTCGTTTATAATCTTGTTCTGCTGCAGGTGCTCCACCACTCTCCTCCTGATAATCTTTTCCAAGACTTTGCATACTATACATGTCAGTGACACTGGTCTATAATTTAGTGCTTCATTTCTGTCTCCCTTCTTAAAGATGGGGACTACATTTGCCTTCTTCCATACTTCAGGTAGTTGCCCAGTTTCAAGGGAAGTGTTGAAGATTTTGATTAGTGGCACACGTAGTATCCCTGCACCCTCTATAAGGACCCACGGAGAGATGTTGTCCGGTCCCACCGCCTTTGAGGTATCAAGGTCACTTAGGAGCTTCTCCACCTACTCCTCAGTTGTGTGTAATTCGTCCAACACTTGTTGGTATATTCCTTGTTGCTGTACGCCACTGTTTTGTCTTCCCGTTGTCCCTTCAGCCTCCACTGTAAATACTTCCTGAAATCTCATGTTGAGCTCCTCACGTACCTCCTGGTCGTTTCTTGTGAGCTCCCCACCTTCTTTCCTCAGCCTGATTACCTGGTCCTTGATTGTTGTCTTCCTCCTGATGTGGCTGTAGAGTAGTTTCGGGTCAGACTTGACTTTCGATGCTGTCACTTTCATACTGCCGCTGCGCCTCCCTTCTTATCTGTGCATACTCGTTTCTGGCTCGTCGACTAATCTCTTTATTCTTCTGAGTCCTTTGCCTTCTGTACTTTTTCCATTCTCTAGAGCACTTAGTTTTTGCCTCCCTGCACCTTCGGGTAAACAAAGGGCTCGTTCTGTCCTTCCCATTATTTCTGTTACCCTTGGGAACAAACCTTTCCTCTGCCTCCTTGCATTTTGTTGTTGTTGTTGTTGTTGTTGTTGTTGTGTGTGTGTGTGTGTGTGTGTGTGTGTGTGTGTGTGTGTGTGTGTGTGTGTGTGTGTGTGTGTGTGTGTGTGTGTGTGTGTGTGTGTGTGTGTGTGTGTGTGTGTGTGCCTGTTTACGTCTCAAAACAGTCGCAAATATACAGCTACCACCATTACCACTACCACTACACACCTACCACCTGGAATGGTTTCCCAGAAGACCGGAAAACATTCCAAGCAGAAGTGCGAACAGGTCTAAATAACACCAATAAAGCCACTCATTCTCCAGGTTTTCTTCCACACATTCACGGCTCTTAATTTATATCCCTGACCCACCTGTAGGGCAATAAACGCTCTCCGTGGTAATTATGTCATTTTACAGATAGCTATTAGTTAGGGCGGTCTCGGGGCAGCTCAGAGAAGCCCTTGGGGCCCTGAAATGAGATCACCGATTGTTTGTGTCCTTTAATGTGTACCTCTGGTGCGCCCGACGGTGTGGGTAATTTAGCTCAGTTTACCCTCAAATGATGCCCAACGTGACCCAAGTGATAGATTTACATCTTTTTATCGGTTACCGTTCGCATGAGTCCCATTAGGAATTATTTACTAATAAATACTATGCGCAGCAAGATTATAATTTCTTTTGATGTTTATTGACGATGTGTGTATATATATACACATATTTTTTTAGGATTTAAAAGGGATTTAATACG